CTGATAACAATTATTCACTATTGTATCACAAGAGACCTATCTGGATTTCATTGCATCAGCGCCACCTAGACAGATTGAATACTACTCACTGGAGATTCTACCTTTCTCCAGGCCCTCTGGTTCTAGGTTCCCTCTTGAAAGTTTGTAAGCCAATCACTTCTTGCCTTTTTATCCCCTCCCCCCTCTTTTTGGGTAGCCAATGTCCAAGTTGCCCATCCCTGTCCACTGTGTGTAGGAGGGGTGGGAATGATTCTTGCTGCAAGGGCCTGCTCCCTCTTTTGAGCTACTGCTTCCATAGGTGTAGGTCAAGTTCATCAAATTGTATGAGCATACTTTTTTTTTTTTCTTTTCTTTTCCTTCTTCTTTTTGCTTCTGGTTGAGCTCTGATAATCCAGTCATTGAAGCGAGGACAAGTAGGTATCATCTTCAAGTGTGGGTATTCTTATGTATATGCCCTCTCTTCTTTTCAGGTGGACACTTCACTTTCCACTCTAGTCCTCTGTGGCTATGTCACTGACTCTGGGCCCAAGAGTCCCCAGGTCTTGCCACACTGCTGGCCCACCCGGTCTTCACCCGGGTTTACAGAAGTCTATTGAACGTTGTAGGGCTTAGCTCACCGTTTCATTGCTGTTTTTCCCTCACTTCCCCTTATCGGTGCCGAGCGTCTTCCATCTTTTCTTTTAAAAAAATTTTTTTTAATTCCTGTTTTATTTTTTGGCTCTTGGCAATGTCATCTTTTCAATATGAAAAAAAAAAAGTTTAACACAAATAGAAATTTAAAGTGTAGAATGGGGGAGAAATAAGACAGAGATAGAAATTAAAAAAGTTAATAGTGAATGGAACAAATGAAATGTCATAAGGCCCTGGTCCTGCTCCTCTGGGGTAATCGACTCTCAAACCTGTAGGCGGCTGCACACACATTGCCATGTCAAGCCTGTTATTCATATTTAAAGTGGAACAGGAATAAAATGTGAGAGGGCCGTAAAGTGGGGGAAGTAAGGATCCCACTTGACCAAGCAAGGCAGACCCCTTCAAAAGAAACTGGGAGCTTAGGACAGCTTCAAGGGAAGCCAAAAATGGAGATAATACTGTTAATACCAGCCCTGAAGTGACAGGAACAGGGAAATGCCTGGTGATGGCTGAAATAATCTGGAGTCCCCTCCTTAAAACTGCTCTAGAATGGGAAATCCCAGTCCTTTCCTTCTAGTGACTTCTACCTGCTGTGAGTTCACTGGTTTCCTTTCTCCGTGACTACCCTGGATACACTTTGGGCTGAGGCTGGTGGCCATCTGGGTTTACAGCACATGGTTCTAAACAAGACCTGGAGGAGACCCAGCTTCCTGGAGTATTATCTTGAAAACAGAGGGAAATATTAACTGGACAGATGGAAGGCATGGGTGCCAGAGGGAAATACAGGATGACTTAGAGTGGCAGGTTTCTCAGAGTGGAAAAAGAGAGGAGACATTCAACAAACAAAAGTATATATTGAGTGCCGACTATGTGTCAGGCGCTATTATAGAACCTTCTCAAGGGAAGGGGAAAAAAGACAGAGGCAGAAAATGCAAATTCTGAGGGAGAGGAAAGGGGCAGCTGAGGAACAAGGCTAAGGGAGCTGAGAAGCCTGAGGTGATGGCCTCTGTCTTAGGCCTCTTCTTTGGCCTCCTCACCGAAATCTTCCTCCTCTTCTGCGGTGGCATCCTGGTACTGCTGGTACTCAGAGACGAGGTTGTTCATGTTGCTCTCAGCCTTGGTGAACTCCATCTCGTCCATACCCTCGCCTGTGTACCAGTGGAGGAAGGCCTTCCGATGGAACATGGTGGTGAACTGCTCTGAGATGCGCTTGAAGAGCTCCTGGATGGCAGTGCTGTTACCAATGACAGTGACTGCCATCTTGAGGCCACGGGGTGGGATGTCACAGACAGCTGTCTTGACGTTGTTGGGGATCCATTCCACGAAGTAGCTGCTATTCTTATTCTGTACGTTGAGCATCTGCTCATCCACCTCCTTCATGGACATCCGCCCCCGGAAAACGGCAGCCACAGTGAGGTACCGGCCATGGCGGGGATCACAGGCAGCCATCATGTTCTTGGCATCGAAGACCTGTTGGGTGAGCTCAGGCACAGTGAGAGTCCGGTACTGCTGGCTCCCACGGCTGGTTAGCAGGGCAAATCCAGGCATGAAGAAGTGGAGACGTGGGAAGGGCACCATGTTGACTGCTAGTTTGCAGAGGTCGGCATTGAGCTGACCAGGGAAGCGGAGGCAGGTGGTAACACCGCTTATAGTGGCTGAGATAAGATGGTTCAGGTCTCCGTAGGTTAGTGTGGTCAGCTTGAGGGTGCGGAAGCAGATATCATAGAGGACCTCATTATCAATGCAATAGGTCTCGTCAGTGTTCTCTACCAACTGGTGGACAGAGAAGGTGGCATTGTAGGGCTCAACCACAGTGTCAGATACTTTGGGTGAGGGCACCACACTGAAGGTGTTCATGATGCGGTCAGGATACTCTTCATGGATCTTGCTGATGAGCAAGGTGCCCATTCCAGAGCCGGTGCTCCCACCAAGTGAATGGGTCAGCTGGAAGCCCTGCAGGCAATCACAGCTCTCGGCTTCCTTCCGAACAACATCCAAGACGGAGTCAACCAGCTCAGCCCCCTCTGTATAATGGCCCTTGGCCCAGTTGTTGCCTGCCCCAGACTGACCAAAAACAAAGTTGTCTGGTCTGAAGATCTGGCCAAAATGACCTGAGCGAACAGAGTCCATGGTCCCAGGTTCTAGATCCACCAAGATAGCCCGAGGAACATATTTGCCACCCGTGGCTTCATTGTGGTACACGGAGATGCGGTCAAGCAGCAGGTCACTGTCTCCGTCGTAGGTGCCAGTGGGGTCGATGCCATGTTCATCACTGATAACTTCCCAAAACTTGGCACCGATCTGGTTACCACACTGACCAGCCTGGATGTGCACGATTTCCCTCATGGTGAAAATATGTTTTGGGGTTTTTTTTTTGCTTGCCTCGAGTGTGTGCGGGGCAAGAAAACAATATATAATTTTTGTCTCTGCGGATCGCAGGCTGCAAGGATGGACCGTGCCCTGGAGGCTAGAGCAGCGAGGTCCGAATGCGGTGGCAGAAAGGTTCTGAGCTTCCATCTTTTCTTGATGCCCCCTGCATCATTCAGTAATTTGCCCAGAGAATCTTTCAATAACGAAAGTCGAGGCTTGAATTTTTTCTTTAGTTCCTCCAGCTTGAGAAATGCTGACCGTGTTCTTCCCTTTTGGTTATCCAACTCTAAATCATTGCATATTTTATTACAGTATTTGTTTTTATCTTCTCGAGTTGATCTTTGAAATTTTCTGTTCAGCTCTTGGACCTCTTCAGTTCTTCCATTTGCTTTAGCTTCTCTACGCTGGAGAGCAAGTTTCAGAGTCTCTTCTGACATACATTTTGACCTTTTCCTTCTTTCTTGTCTTCTTAATGACTTTTTGCTCTCTTCATGTATGATGTTCTTGATGTCATCCCACAACTCTTCTGGTCTTCGGTCTTTAGTGTTTAATGCATCAAATCTGTTCTTCAGATGATCTCTAAATTCAGGTGGGATACATTCAAGGTCATATTTTGGCTCTCGTAGACTTGTTTTCATTTTCTTCAGTTTCAGTTTGAATTTGCATATCAGTAATTGATGGTCTGTTCCACAGTCTGCCTCTGGCCTTGTCTTTACTGATGAAATGGAGCTTTTCCATCTTCTCCTTCCACAGATGTAGTCAATTTGATTTCTATGTGTTCCATCTGGCGATTCCTCTTGATAGGGTCCTGCATAAATCTTAGGCTTTCTTTGTACTTTTTTCTTTTTTCTGATTGTATCTCTAGCAGATGAATATTGCGAGATTGGTCTTCAATCTCAGGAATTGGGCCTTCCATTAATTCAGTTCTGCTTCTTTGCCCTTTCTGAAGTCTTAGTATTAATTTTTTGCTTTCTAAATTCTGTTTTTATATTGTTTCTAATTTAAATTCCTTAGTAAGTAGATCTGATACCATTTCTGGTATTATAATTTCTGTCTTTGTGCTTTGCTCACTTGTTTGAGGCACTCTGTTTTATTTCTTCACATAAGCTAAATTGTTTTCCCCAAGATATTGTTATATTTATATTTAATTGATCATTGTGTATTGGTGTGCTCTGGGGCACTCACCACCTATTTCACAGAATCGACTCAGTGGCACTTAACAACAACAACAACAGGTTACAATCTAAGATTGTATTTAGTTGTTCTTGTCTCTTTAGTCTCCTTTTAAACCGATAATTTCTCAGCCGTTTTGTCTTTCATAATCTTGATATGTTTGAAGAGTACAGACAAGTTATTTTGTAGAATACGCCTTAATTTGGATTTTTTCTGGTATTCCTTTATAAATAGAGCCAGCACTGTTGATGTAAGTGATTTTTTTTTTTTCTGAATGCATCATCTCAGAAAACATATGACATTCCTTTAGTGGTAATGGTAACTTTGCTGATTGGATTAAGGTGGTGTGTATTTGGTTTCTCCATTAAATTTACTGGTTTTTCCATTTTAATTAATATCTTGTGGAGTCAAACGACATCCTTTCACCCATTAGTTTTACTATGCATTGCTTATTCTTGCCCAAAACAGTCATTACTGTGTTTTTGTTGTTGTTAAGTGTTGTCAGCTTGGATTCTGACTCATAGTGACCCTCTACAGGGTTTTTGAGGAGTTGTTGATATGTTTAAGCCTCTGACCTTGCGGTTAGCAGTTCAGTGCTTATCCTCCAATGCAACACCAGGACTCCATTCATTACTATTGTGGTGGTGGTGGTTTTATTTCAACTCAGAGCAGCCCTGTATAGGGTTCCGAGGCTGTAAATATTTACAGAAACAGAAACCTTCGTCTTTCTCATGTGGAGTGACTGAGAGGTTCTAACTGCTGACCTTGTGGTTAGCAGCCCAACTCACAACTCACGATGCTGCTAGAGCTCCTTTAACATTACTTTGGGCATTGTCATTTGCTGATTTTATAATCCTGTCATGTATCAGTCCTTTCTAATGTTCTAAGTTTTCCCCCTAGTCTTGTAAGTTAGTGAAAAATGTCTGACCTAACATTTAATAAAACCAAATATTGAATGGAAAACTCAAGAGGTCATCTAATTTAATCATGCTGCTTTTGAGTGAATGAATAATGGAGATAGAGAATAATTTTTATCTAACTATATATTCAGTAGACGTAGTGAATGCTTGAAGTTGGAGTACATCAGAGTACAAGACAGTAAAAGTCCTTATGGAGCTTATAGGGAAAAAATATAAATAAATATCAATTTTTTGTTGTTAGTTTCTCAATAGTTTTGCCATATGTACAGAAGTTGTTCTTTTTTTTTTTTTTATGTGAAGTTTTATAGACATCAGTTTTACATTCAACAAATCATATTCTTTGTTTCATTCCAATGATTGCAATCCCTTCCATGCAACAACAGTTATCCCACTTCCTCTCTCTGGTTCCTATTTCCATTCCACCCACTTTTCCATCCCTTCTCAATTTTGTCCTTAGGTAAATGTTGCCTTTTTGATTTTAAATGATTGACCATTCTGTGGTGAGCATACTTTGGTAGTGTTGGTTGTTGAAAATTGGTCCATAAAGGTGAGTTCCTTTCCAGACCTGAAGGGTGGTTGAGGACCATAGTCTCAGGTTTCTCCAGTCTTTCTCTGACCAGGAAGTTGGACATTTTTAAATAAATTATTTTGAGTTTTGGTCCACATTTTCTTCTCCTTTATTGGGACTTTCTAATGTGACCCCTTTTAAAGCAGTTGGTAGCAATAGCCAGGTACCGACCACTTAGTTCTTCCGGTCTCAAAGTTGTGGAGATTGAAGTTCACATGTTCCATCAGTCCATTGGACTAATCGATTCCTAGCATCTTAAATGCTCATCACTCCTCTTTATTTCAGACAGGGAGAGCCAATTAGTTGCACCTCAGATGGCCACTCCTAAGCTTTTAAAATTCCAGATGCTACTCACCAAAGTAGGATGTATAACATTGTCTTGTCAACTGTGTTATGCAGATTTATCATGGTGCCCCTTGAGACTATGGTACTGAACTCCCAGACACAGCAGCTCATTGACATAAGATATCTATGACGTTATCACACCACTTGTCTGTCAATTTGTTGCATGTTGCTGTGATGCTGGAAGCTTGGCATTTCCTTGGCAGTGTAATGTGGCAGTCACTTTTTAATTATTTTGAGAAAAATTTTACTTGCATGTGATATTAATGATATTGTCTGATGATTTCAGCATTCTGTTGAGTCACCTCTCTTTGGAATGGGCACAAATATGGATCTCTTCCAATCAGCTAGGCAGGTAACTGTTTTCCATTCCGGCAGGGTCACCCATGGGGGACAGGTTTCAGCTGAGCTTCCAGACAGACTCAGAAAAAGGAGAGGTGGACTACTTCCAGATGTTTAGTCACTGAAAACCTTATGAATAGCAGTGGAACACTGTCAGCTGGCATCAGAATATTGAATACTAAAATATGATGAAAAGCACCAGAGTATTGTCAGATACAGTCCAAAAGATGAGCCCCTCAGGTTGGAAGGCACTCAAACTACAACTGGGACAAGATGCCTCCTCAAAGTAGAGTTGATTTGATGATGTGAATGTAGCAAAGCCTTTGGGACCTTCATTTGCTAATGGGCCACAATTAAAAATGAGAGGAAATGCCTATAAAGAAATCTGAAGATGGAATTGTATTTCTAAGAAAGTATGATTCTAGGAAAATTGAAAATTGTCGAAATGAAATGCATAAATATTGATATGCATAATGATTCTAGGAAAATTGGAAGTTGTCAAAAATGAAATGGAATGCATAAACATCGATATCCTAGGCATTAGTGAACTGAATTGTACTGGTATTAGCAATTTTGAATCTGATAATCACATGTTTATCATGATGGAAATGCCAGATTGAAGAGAAATGGCATCATATTCCTCATCAAAAAGAATATTTCAAGATCTAGCTTGAGGTATGATGCTGTCTGTGATAGTATAATATATATACACCTACAGGACAGATCAGTGAATACCACTTTTTAAATTCAAATTTATGTACCAAAAACTAAAGCCAATGATGATAAAATTGATGAATTTTATTAGCTTCTTCAGTCTGAAATTGATGAAATATGCAATTAAGATGTTACTGGTGATTGGAGTGCAAAGGTTGGAAACAAAGAGAAAGATCAGTGTTTGGAAAATATGGCCTTGGTGATAGAACCGATTCTGGAGATTGCATGATAGAATTTTGCAAAATCAATGAATGACTTATTTGTTGGAAATAACTTTTTTTAAACAAAATAAAAGAGGATTATACACATGGACTTCACCAGACAGAATACACAGCAATCAAATTGACTATATCTGTGGAAAGAAGAGATGGAAAAGCTCCATATCATAGCAAGGCCAGGGGCAGACTATGGAACAGACCATCAATTGCTCATGTGCATGTTCAGGTTGAAGTCGAAGAAAATTAGAACAAGTCCCCAGGAGCCAAAATATGACCTTGAACATATACTACTGGAATTGAAAGACCATCTGAAAAACAGGTTTGATGCATTAGACACTAATGACAGAAAACCAGAAGAGTTGTGGGATGACATTAAGAGCATCATAAAGGGAAAAAGCACAAGGTCATTAAGGAGGCAAGAAAGAAAATCAAACCAAAATGGATGTCACAAGAAACCGTGAAACATGCTCTCCAGCATAGAAATGCTAGAGCAAATGGAAGAAATGAGGTAAAAGAGCTAAACAGAAAATTTCAAAGAGCAGCTCAAGAAGAAAAAGTCACATATTATAATGAAATGTGCAAAGGTCTGGAGTTAGAATACCAAAAGGGAAGACACACTTAGCATTTCTAAAACTGAAAGAACTGAGGAAAAATTGGAGCCTTGACTTGCAATACTGAAGAATTCTTTAGACAAAATAT